GGCCCCCCCCCCCCCCCCCCCCCCCCCCCCCCCAAAAAAAAAAGAACAACAATTTTCTAGCTCAAATAGGGCAAAAGATACAGTAGTTGCTTGAACCTTTGGATCACTTTCCCCCCTGGGGGATGACTTTTGGGCTGCACATCTCGAGATTCGTTTCAGGTAGAGCTCAGTAATTGGCATTTTTACATAACTCGGGGAGGCCACCATGCATTAACTTTTTTTTTTCCAACCAATTCCTTTGGTGGCACAACCAAAGTTCTTAAAATTTGATCACTCGGATCGAGGTTGGAGTACCGAACAAGCTACCGCGGAAGATCCTGCATATTTTCGAGGGCGCCTTGATCTGCTATCTTCTCTGCTGAGAGAGAATCAGCACATGGTGCACCTCCTAATCGCAATCGAATGAGACATACGATAGCCTGGGAATGAGGACGCGACACAACTATTAATACGTCGCGCTCTTATTTACTGCATCCATGTTTACTTTTCTAAAGCTATTTGCACGCGACTTTCTACCTACGTCGTCGTTTCAAGCAATGATTTATTTTGAGATGAGCTTGTTCATCGTCGTTCGCAAGAAATTGGATGGCACTGTGAACAGCCGAAACGGAAATAGCGTGAATGGGGTCGAGGGGCTGACTTAACGTTGCACGAGTCGAAATACCTGTGAACGGGATGAGATTGAAGAAAAGCGTATGAGAAAGCATGTAGACGAGCGAGGGCATGGAGTGCAAGGAAGGCATGAGGTTCATCCAGGTCCTTCACGTTCTTCAAGGCCCGATAACCAAGAGGTCCGAGGTCTTCCAACACCACGTATCCTTTCGCGTCTTCTGCCCTTTCACCTCCCCCGTAGAATCGGGGAAATAGGTCCAACGTCATGCCCTTACCCTTCAGAAAGGACTCCATGTCCGGCAGAAGTTTCTCGTACACTTCCAGTTCCCGACCGAAGAATCTAAACACCCGTTTTTCGAGTTACGGAGGGCTAGGCGTCATCGCTTTAATTGCTTTAATCATAGCTGCCGGCGCTCAAGACTTCTTATGGAGGAATTTTTATCGCAATATACGATTCAAAGCTTCGTTTTAAAAAAAATTATAACTAGTAAGAGTTTGAATTTCCGAATGAAGTATCCCTTCATTGTGCAAATCTGAATCTAACCCTTTCATGCCCAAAGGTCCCAATATAGAGCACCATTTTCAAGAACATTACGAGCCTCGCATGTGAACTTGAATAATGGCTACGTCAGCCTTACTACTATATAGCACTACAAGCTACCCGTTGTTTGGTGCATTGCTTATATTACACCATTTATGTCTGCGCACATCAAGAACAGATCAAAAAGGGGAAACTTTAAGGTACTTGAAAACAAATTGAATAAAAATTTTCAGAAATTAGTTTCCCACCTATTTTCTCTGCAAGTTTATTATGAAAAGCAGCATAGAAATTTAGAGAAACATACGACGGAAAATAAGCATTCGATTGGCAACAGAACTAATGAAGTTGTACGATTTTATCCATATAAAAAATTAATTACATACTTCTTTTTTAAAGCAGGTAAGTCTGGTTGAATTAAAAAAACTGAATATAATATTCTCCCATGCGTGCATGAATGGATTGTATCAATTATAAATTGAAATAATAGAAAATTTCTGCTTTAAAATTATAAGGTCACGAATTAATGAAAGGTGATAATCTGGAATGAGGTATTTAAAAAATGAATGCAATAGGGCCTTGGTCTGCTCACACCCTGACCTGTAAATGCCGCATAGAAGGTTCCGGGTGTCAGGGTCCGGGGGAGTAAATTTGACCAAACACTGGATGGAAGAGGCCCCATCTTCTTCGCTCTCGTCTTCGAACGCGACTCGATAGGTGCGGATGATGCTGGCGAAATTAGTGGTGGGGAGATGCGACGGACTTACGGCGCGGACACGGCGTCCCGCTTTCGCGAAGATCCCTTCGAACCAGGATTCGTCGGCGTCCTCGGGGCATTCCGGCACCCGCACTCTCGTCAGAGCCATCTTCACACTGCCATGCTATGCGATGCGATGCCCCGAGGGATCAATGCTTTCCTTTAAGTCACTTCAAGGTCGAGCATCCGAGGATTCCTCTCTTCATTAGGGTGGCCTGGCTTCTTTCCCGAATGGTATTGGATGCGGTTCGTCACCGTGTTGCTCCACGCCTTAGCGTCTACGCCCGTATGTAAACGTTCGGAAAGAGTCTGTTCCCAGAAACTACCTTCGTAGTGTCGCAGGTGTACTGAATAATTTATTCGTCAATGTTTTTTTTTTTTAATGTATTCATTATCCATAAAAGCATTTGTTAAATGCATTAATGTTTGAATAATTTTTTTTTACGGGCTTTCTCCTTTAATCAGTCTCTCTCCTTCCACGGGGATTGTGTTAATCGGCTTCCATATTCTCAATGAATGGCCAAAAGTCACAAGTGAAGTTAATTATGAGTCAGAAGAGACGTCACACTTTTTAGGCCTAGGCCTGGCCCACGCACTGTCTTCGGTTCAGCCCCACGCCGGTGCCCTGAAGAAGCCCACACGAAAAAATGCCCGCAGAAAATACGCCAATACCTGCAAATTACGAAATAAAGCCCACTTGAATGATATTTCCAGGTTTTTCTTGTTTTTATTTTCGTAATTTTACAAAAAATATATACATCTTATTTATTGCATTGCTGGAATAGTACAAATCAAATAATACAGAATTGGTTGTACTTCAAGTTGGTGGCACCTGAAGCGGTTTTTGTAAACAAACCTTCGACAGCTCCAATTTAATTATTCTCGTAAGGATTAGTATGTCCCACTCCGCGAAGCAACTCCTACTAATGTATGTTTCACATGAGTGTTTCAAATGAGTGTTTCACATACATGAATCCTTCGAATATTACTTTTTGCCCACCTTTCAAGTCCGTGAGGAACTTACTTCAAGTGAAATGAACAGGCATATGACTTCATATTTATATTTTGCAATGTGAGAACCAATTTTCAAAGGTTTTCCCTTTCTTCAACCCCAACCTCAACCTGAGCCCCCCCCCCACCTTCCCTCCTTCCCGTCGGAATTCATTAGCTTTAGGCCTAGGCCTAACCGACGGACTGCCTTCGGGTCAGGCCTAGGCCTACCTTTTTTCGTTCAAAAGAAACTCAATCCTCGACCTATGGACCAATTAGGCCTATAAGCCCAAACAGCATGTTTATGTTAATTTTACGTAAAATGAATGTAAATTTTTTGTCCATTTTATATCATTTTTACGCAAACCATTGTCAAGAAAATGTCAACATGTTTGCAGAAATGTCACCTCTGTGATACGTAAAAGGTGATATAAAATTAACGTCAATTTTACTAAAAATTGACATTCCGTTTGCATTCCAAACAGCATGTTTACATTCATTTTACGTAAGATTTATGTTAATTTTTCCTTGGCATTCATGCGTGTTTAAAGAGTCAATCAGTCCCATTGAAGAGAATAGATATACTGAATCTCCTATTCATTTACGTTCTTCAGAACTCTAGGGTGGTTGGATGAGTACACGAGTACTCATCCTCACCAGCACTCAAGAATACCAAAGTGACCTACTGCTTCCTCCTCCCGTACCGGAACCTGGAATAGAAGAAGATGTTCGAAGGAACTCTCTTCTTTTCAGGATAGAGATGTAATACTTGTGGGGCTGGGATTTTACTCTTCCCTAATCCCGTGCATTGCTGTTTGGGCTTATAGGCCTAATTGGTCCATAGGTCGAGGATTGAGTTTCTTTTGTGTCAGATGGAGTGACGTCTAGTTGATGTAAAATACACGTACACTTTGGTGACGTATATAGGAACGTAAATTTTACGTGAACGTGATGTCATTTTCATTGCAATCGCAAGAAATTTACATTGTTTGCAAATAATAGATATCTTGTTTACGTGAACATGCTGCTTGGGAGGTTTAATCCCTGGTCTTGGAGACACCTCGTTGAGGACGAGTAACTTTAGGCCAATCTCAGTCTCTCATGGCCCATTTAACAGAGAACCTGTAACGTTAGACCAATTGTAGGTCTTTTTCGAGTTTACCACTTCAATGCGGTCGGGAAAAATTAGGCCTATCCAAAGTTACTCAAACCGTCTCGACTCGTTCCGAGAAGAAAATGCCTTTAGGGTGCATGACATACAAGCTGGCCGCCATCATGTTAATTTAGGTATGTCCGGATGAGATATCTCCGTATTCCACCAAATCGATCGGCCACTGCAAAACACTGTTACAATCTCAGCTCATCCTATGAATACAGCACAATAATGCTTCCTACATTTAAAAGAGAAGATACAGACAACGATACTAAGGCCGAAGAAGTCATGAATCTGACATAACTCCGACATGATATCCGGCAACACTGGGGGACGGGATCGGAGCTAGCGCTCTAAGCCTAAATGAACGGCAGCTAATTTCCTTTTTTATGTCGAAATGGTGCATCGCAAGCAACAAAAAGGGAACTTTTGTCATCTGCAAGTCATTACCTTTCTCAAGTTTGGTCTCTTTTCTCCGAAAGCATCCCAGGGGTGGCTACTCAGGGGGGGAGGGGGAGGGGAGAGAAAAAAAACCGGAATGAAGTCCACAACTTCCAAAAGCGAGATTCAGTAATCTCCACAACCCCGGGGAAAGGGAGCTTCAAATTTGCTGGAGCGATTCTCTGTTGTGAGAGGAAAAAGCACTCCAAATTTTCTTCATGATGGTACTCTCAGAGAGGAACACGAAGAGGTTGAATTTTGCTGCGGGAAGGGGTTGAAGAAAGGATAGGCGCTACCGCGCCAATTGATATAATCCGTTTGTAGATACTTGGAACAATGCCATGTTGCTCCCCTCCCCATGCTCATCGGGGACACGAGGGAAATGTCAATCAAGAGTTGCCAGGAGCTTATATAAAACTCTATTTAATGACTTTCTCACATGATTCTTTGTGGGGAGCTCCAACTTTCAGCCTTCCTAGGATCAATACCTCCGAGATATTACAGAGGTATTACATTCCAAATGATATAATATAATTTTACCCCTAAACACACACATACACTCCTTGAAATATGACTTGCTGCCCCTCTCCTCAGCCTATCACTGAGAAGCGATAGTAAAGTGATTTGTGTCATGAAAAAGTTGATAGGTTTTGAGAAAAACCTATCAAGACCTGATTTAAGTATAAACAAGTGGGTAAATCTATTGTATTCATATGTCCGGAAAACAAGTTAAATTTTGGGCGCATTCTCAGAAACAGTCACACAGGATACAATATTCATACCGATGGAAGACGACGGCCACAGCAGTTACGATGGGCTGTGATGCACGTTATGAGAAGAAACATGTGCCCTCCACATGGCGTCTAGTCGATTCGTCAAATGACGAGGGATCAAATGCGTATATAATATAAAGTCGAAGAGGACGAAATGAAGAGAAAGTCACATCTTTTCATAACCTGAGTCAATGGTGACCAAATTCCTTGCAAGCGTATGAGTATCCCGGAACTGTTTACTCATGTGAATGATCAGAGAAGGCGGTTGAGCGCACTTCGAATGGAGCCCATTTTTTTAAATACGGAAATGAGACAAATATTAGAGGGAAAGGGTTGCCAAAGGTGAATGCATGTAACCTTTATTTTTAGGAACAAGTTCCTCCTGGAAAGGTGTAGTAATACCAAAGAAGTTCATTGCAGAAGCAAGACTCTGCTCCAGCAAGGCGGCGAATATTGTGATCTGTGGCAGCTTCCAGAATCCGATCGGCCGCCAGCCGGCGTCAGTGATCGAATTCGGTGGTCACATGCACTGAACTTACACAGAACTTACATGACTCCAGCTGAAGAGCCAAAACCGGAACTTCTCACTTTTAAGCATACGATTGACTATGTAGTTATGTTGAAATTTCGTATCGATCGCGAAAGAAGATGTAATCCACGTCTGACCCATTCTCTCACTCGGATTAGAGGCCAATGCGATCCCAAGGTAATACAACGTGTGACAACATAAATTATTTATTTTTTACTGCCGTAGACCGTTGTCGACTTTAATATGCCCGTGGCTAAACGGTAATTACGGCTTTAATGAGACTACCCAGGTCATTCGACATGATTCAATGTTTCCTCTCGTTTGATATTTTTCATATTCTGGCCGGTGTTCATTCGACATTAAGCACAGTCGACTTGAGTCATCTACATTTTTTCCTTTCGCCATTTTCATGTTCGACATTCCTACAAACACCCGCTAAATCCATCCACTTTTCGTGAGAATTCAGGCACGCTTTCTCAAGATAACTGGGATCAATAACCTATACGATATTGGGATCCATTCTTTCCAACTCCGTCGTGAAATGCGATAGCCTTTTACTTTCGTTGTCTTTATTTTTCTTCCTCCAACAATCAACGTTTTTCTCTGCTTCATCCCTTGAAAACCTCAAGCATGACAGGGGTATCAGTCTTTGCAAATCCGTCCTTTCCAGGCCTGGGCCAATCCAAAGCAGGATTACAGTAAGCCATGCCTTCCTTCTACGAGGGGCACTCATAAGTCAGCAAGTCCTTGCACTAATGATTTCCTTATCCGATTCATGTTATCTTTGTCAAAAAGTGAACAGTGCTTTTAGGCGTGTGAATGCCAAGTTGAATCAGTCGGGTGTCAGTAGTTTGACAGTCCGCTAATATATATGTGCCGTGACCTTGAGCGATGTCGCTAGTTAAAGCTCTTCAATTACGTCAATCGGGTCATGATATGGTACTCGTATTGCTGAAAACGATATTTCCTTTAAAAGATGCTTGCCAGAGATACTGAGATGTTAGAGTAGCTCAGAGTACTGAGTCAGATGTCACTGATGTCAGTCAATTACGAGGTATTTCGGTGATACCGGCGAGGAGCGGGGGGGGGGGGGGCTGGCTGTTTAAGTTACAATCTACCAGAAACAATCCCACGAAGATAGTGCGTCTTTCTATTGTGATTGCGTTGAGCTGGAGCTCTTGCGTTTGGAGATATTTCTCTAAACACAAGACGTCACTTTCGGTTTGGCGATTATGTCTGTTTCTGAAATGTCGCCCCACCTCACATCTTCACAGGACGGTGAAAGTATTGAGTGCTCAGGCACACCGAGCAGAGGGCACAGTCAAAGTGCAAGTCGAACCCACAAATGACGGATCTTGATCCTTGAGTTCGGATTAAACACAATCCTGTGACTTCCTTGAAGGCTTTTGTTTTCCCCACGCGGTGGACGTCACCCTAAGTGGATATGGAGATGGTATGGTGTTGTGGCGGAGGTGTCCTACGGTTTTCATACCGCGGTGAGCTTACGCACAAGGGCAGTATTCCACAGTTTTCATGCCGTGGCGATAAATATCGAAAAACGCATAGAAGGGGCTGGTATGAAAATCACGAGAATCGAATACAGCGGTATGATTAAAATACCATTATACAGCAACGTCCTATGTCCACACCCTGTCTCATTTTTCTGACCTGGCACAATTAAATTTTCATTTGTTACAAAAATTGAAGGAAGGGCTTGCAAGGATGAACAATTTTGAGATCAAACGAATTGGAAGGAGCAGTGAAAGAGGCCTCATCAACCTTACCTGGAGAAACTTGGGAAAATGTATTAGAAAACATGTTCAAATAGATGTAAGTTTTTATCGAGAAAGGAGGGAAGTACTTTAAAATAGTGTGAAAAATATTTCAATAATGTCGCTCTTATGTTTAAGTGCAAGAACTAATTGAGTGTCCCTCATGAACCAATCCACATGGGGCTCTTTTTTGATTAATGAGTTCACCAAAATTAAATATTTTCTTTCCTTGCCCTCAGGCAATTAGAAAATAGCAATTGGGGCTATGAAACCACAATTTCTTACTTTTCAGCCTTGCAAAACTTTTCACAAAGAAAAGTTCATTGTTGCTTAAGTTTGCATTGTAATTTCTAATCATTTGCATTTCTTAGCAGTGGGCAGTTGGACAAGGGGATAGATAGTATCATCTCCTCTTTTCTACCCAGTAGTCCCAGCCTCCCTGACCCACCAGGATTCTACAGATCTCAAGTTTTCATAGACTCATGTTTAACTCTTGTATGGCCTATTAATAATTATTTTACCTCCAAGAACCAAGTAGAACAAAGAGAAGAGGTTGCAATTATGCAATCTGCAATGTTAGAGAAAATTCCAGTGGAAGAAGCCCTGCTCATATACTAATGGATTATTCCATTGGTGAAACTTGACCATCCATCCCCATCCAGAAAAATGAAGGCAGCCTTTTTATCAATCATAATTTGCTTCATCAGTCATCAATGGGTGGAAATGATACAGTTTCTTAAGATGACAATGATAATTATGCATAAACAATGATTCAAGAGTAACTTTTATTTGTACTCATATCACCACAATTATTACAGCTTGAAAATTTTAGGAGTGAATCAGGAGTAATGCATAAGTCCCTCAATCCCCTCTTTTTCCAGCTGATCACCAGCAAAATCACAATTTCGAGAAAATCCCAACAAGGACATGGTCTTTGGGAGAGGATCCTGGGGGAGTCATACGAGAAAGCTGCACTGCATAGCCCAATTCTTCTGCAGAGAAGAGTCTATCACTATCAACAGCCTGCATGCATAGTCGGCCCTGAAGTGTCTTGGGGTGCTCCTCATCATGAGTCTGATCAGCTGAGTGAGCTAGAACAATATACTCTGAACCAGATATGTATCTCTTGAATTTCTGACTTTGAGGATACACAGCAGAATTTGCAGGGCTCACACTACCATAACAACAGGGACAGATTACAAAAGAGGCTTGATGCGAAATACACTTTTGCAGAACAAGATCTGATGCCATGCCACATGCATGGAGGGCCATCCCAATGTCAAAGGGTCTATCAAAATAATCAAGATTGGACTGATAGAAGTCCAAATTTCGGATGTGGGCTGACATGGCTCTCTGCCGAGCTCTTTTCAGACTCTCTTCCTTATTTTCAACCAGGATGACTGTGTTGGATGGAAGAAGTGCAGCAAGAATGATTCCCAAATGACCTCCACCAGAACAGAAATCAACAATAATACTCCCGGGTTGACAGAGATTCATAACTGCTGAGACCATGTTCTCCAGCTGCTGCATTTTTCGTTCCAGGCGCTTTGTTGGCAGGTAATCATGTGGTGTGATGTGCCTGCTCAGGGAATTCCACTCAAGTTGATAGCCTTTCTCCTCCTTTTCAGTATATGGAATCATAACATCAATGGGAAACATGCCAAGGACTTGATCAACGTCTTCCTGTCTTGTAAAGATCCTGTTACTTGGCTTGTATCGCCGAGGGTCCCGCTTGTAAATGCTCTGCTCTTCAAAAGTGGGGATTTCAACTTTACTGAATTTGAGTTTCTTGACCTTCAAAACCATTTCTGAGACTTTATTAAATTTGGGCTCAACTTGAACACATTTTCTATACCATTCCATGACTCTGGGAATGTTTTGATTTAGAATATCTGTTCCACACAAATTCCTGAACACACTGAAGAGGGAGAAGAGAATTAAGTCTGACAGAACCATGTCAGGTCCCTCAGCATATGTGTGAAGATTATCACTGAGACCCAACACATTTGTCGAGGGTGAGGAATCACATAAGGAAAGTTCCTGTGCCCTCTTGCGGACATTATGGATGCGTGCAGGAAGACTCAAGTGAACATCAAAGCGCAGCAGTGCAATGGGGATAGACCATCTATCACCATGCCATTCAAGAATTGCCTTCAGTGCATCTGGCATATCAACTTCACAGAATTGTGTCCAGACAGAGGCCTCAGCTGGAGCCATCAGACACCCCTGCCTGAAACCCAACAGCTTTGATGCAATATTGCTTGAATCCTTGGTGGAAGACTTGTATAAAGTGGCACGCAATATGCTGCACAATCCCAATACAGTCAATCTCTCTGATTTAGAGACGAGTGTCACAGGACACTTTTGAGTACAGACAATGCTATCAGGGCGATCAGTTTTGGTCCACCCATCCAAGATGGCAGGGCAGCAATGGATCAATGGTGTGACCTCCAACACTTCCATATAATAATGCACCTTAACTGGCTGGTGGTCAAAGCAATGCAGGGCAAAGGCTATGATATAACTCTCAACCTCTAACATCACATCTTTGTCAGTCACACTACCCACACGCAGATACAGGTCCATCATTGACAGTATCAAATGCCAGCAGCAATTTGCCTGTTGATGCGAGCCAGCATCTGGTCATTAAGTTGCTTCTGCCGTTTTTGGGAAAATGTTCCACTTGCAATCCCTATTAGGAAGAATGTCAACTCAAACATCCAGAACTTCCTTTCTTCCATCCAAATAGGTTTGTCACACCTGTAAATGAAGCAAGAGGTGATACACAGCTCTCTCAGACTCTTATTGACTATTCAGTACACTCAACTCACTTTCTGCTAACTTCCTTTCGTGTGGTCTGGCATTGTAAAACTTCCTTGTATCCTGTTGCCATGCAGGCCTCAACCAGACTTGCAACCTCAAATTCTGGAAAATAGAAGACCTGTTATTGCTAGAACAGAATTTAGATCCTGTTGGGACCTAACTGAAAACTTTTTATCTGGCTTGATTCTTTGAAAATGAGTCACTTGTCCAGCAGAGAGTACTAGAAAGGTCAAGTGATCAAGTACAGTGATTTAACTCATTAACCTACTTTCTTTATTGTCTACTTTTTCCCTTCTGGCAGAGCCAGATTCAAAGCTTTGGAAAAAATTATTTTCTTTTTATGTTCCCAGTTTCAATGCATACAGGGCTTGCATGATCCTTTTAAGGCAAGAACACATTTTGTCAATTATAAATCTGATAGCTCACTCCATGGGGTTTAAGCCTACCCAAACAAAAACAAAGGAATTAAGATTGTGCAATTGAACCTCAATTGAACCTGACCTGGCAAGGACATTTTGAGTTACACAATGGTTTGATAAGAATGTCAAGGTAACAGAAACCTACTGCTATGAGTACACCTATGTATAGAAAAAACTGGCTGTATGAATTTATAGAGATTTATAGAGTACCAATTTGTTCCACCTGTTACCTCATATGATATATTTCAAGTAAAGTCTGATTTCAGACTGTATCCCATCTGTTTGTCATGTCTTTCTAACAAAGTAATAAGAATTACCTGAACAATGATGACATGGCTTGATAATGGTGTAGGCTTCTCTTGCCCAACATTCCCCAAGTGAAGAATTTCTCAGGTTTGATGTTTCATGGTTGTGTTCAGAATCTGGTGTCAGCTCACTCTCAAAGATCAATGCAAGAATGGATAACCTAGAAGGGATATAGAAAACTTTATGTACCTGTCTTTCCTATGCAGCCTTCAAGCTGTGAAAATTCCATGGTAAAATGAAGTTGACCAATGGCAGAGGCCACTTGGCTGTAGGCCATACAAGTTCAGACCTAGACCAAGTCCTATTGGAAGAAGCTGCAGAAAACCAGGAAAGCCAGGAATATTCAAGATGTAGAGTTTAAAGATACCTCACATACACTAAGGAGAATAAAAGATTTCTCCTGGTGTAAAATAACAGCAAATCAAGCAATCTCCAGACATACAGTATCTCATGCTTTCACTCACAAGCTGGTGCTGAGGATGAGGAATGTAATCATTTTAGGGTTACCATTATAAGTCAATACATTGACATCACCATTAATAGTACACAGGATTGATGGTATTACCAGGCATTGCAATGTATAACCACACTGGGTTATAAAGTCCCAGAATCAAAATTTGTAGGAGCATTAATAGTGCAGACATGATGGGACCCCCAGAAGCCATTCCAGAGAGACTTTCACTGTTTTCAGATTGAATTTGTACCCTCCCTTCTATAGCAGAGAACAGAGAAAACATAAATTGAGATGATCTGCTTCATCAGGCAATAGATGTAGTCACCCACATGGAAGATGTCACTACCTGCAATCAATGAAAGTGCTCCTATGGAGGGTATGATTTCAATTCAAAATATGTACTTATTTAATACTTATTCACCTGCATTAGACTGTTGTGAGGCACAGAATAGACTACAGATCAGGAAGAGCTACAAATCAAGTCTGTCATCTTTTGAGATGCCCTATTCTTATCCCATTACTCACAGTTCATCAATGACTATTTTGACAATACATCAATGGCTCAGGTCAATCCATCAATGTTTTCAAAACTGGCACTGACAGCCCTTGTGTTTTTTTTTTCTCCCTTGTACATTCTTAAAGTGAGACTCAATGGCACTGTTAGAATTAGAAGAGTGGAGCTGGGCTTGAGCTTCTTTGGACTATTAAAAAGAAGCAACTAATTTGCCAGAAACTAAAGAAAACAGGTCATCTGCTAGAGGTCCCCAGGGGCTCAAGATAGCCCCTCCCCTCCCACCCTGCCATAAATTTTGCATTGGTGAGAGGGGGGGGGGGGTTCGAATTTAGGTGACCTGTGTAGTTGTGAGTCTTACTTTGGATGAAATTCAGAAAATACACTACTCACCTACATATTGCAGGTATTGGAATTTGCCATCATTTCATGCAGCCTACCAAAGGTAGGTAGACTGTTAACACATTTGCTGTCACATGGGTAATCCAGAGTGCTATACACAGCATAATGCCATACATTCCAATGATTAGTTTCCAGCAAGTCACTGGACTCCTTCTGCAATTTAGATCTATGAGAACAATGGCTTTTATTGGAGTGAGAATTACTTTTTTGCCAACAAAACACCATCCTGCAGTGAAAATGTCATGTTATGGGCAATGATAAGCTTTCGTGGCATAGAGGCTACCAGATTTTGCATTCAACAATGAATGCCAAATGGTACTGTGAGGTTTTAAATGATATTGTTGCACCACTTCTAACAAGTATGTCATCCACATTTTCCAACAAGATGGTGCTCTCCCAACATTATTCCATCCAAGTGCAGTACATTCTTAATGAACATTTGCAGGGCAGATTGATGGGTCAGTAAGGCCCCGTTGATTGACCTCCCAGATCATCTGATCTCACAAGATGTGATTAGTGGATGTGGGGGTACATGAAAAAGGTTTGCAGCAAAGGACTTAGGACAATTGAGAACCTAATCACTACCACCGAGCAAGCTTTTCCAACATTAAGCTTGGATATGATACACAATTTCCCAAATATTGACAATTTCCCAAAACATATTTTGCACTGTGCTTACCATGGTGGTGCACAGTTTGAAGGATTGTCAAAAATGTGCTTTGTTTTTGTGACTGTACACTATACATACGTATAATGGTATGTGCATTTGGAACATAAATAAATATGCTATCACAGCTTCAAGTCTGGACATCATTTCTGGGACACACTGTACATATCAGTAACAGTGAATGAGTTAATATAAAGTGGATTCAGTTCAATACAGTTGCATTATGTAGGTAGTCAGGAATACCTTTCAGCCAGTTAATGCCTACCTAGGGAAGGTTGATTGGTTTGCCATGAAACAAGGAACACTTAAGAGCCAAGTACTTTTGTATTGTAATAAAGAATCAATGATTTCATTTCCTTGTATTCTTGGGATTGCTATTACTTGCATTGAACATTCTGGTTAGGCAACTGTTTGCTTATTCCTAGAACACACTCTGAGGTCATAACAACCCAAAAAAAAAAACAAGAATTCATTATCTAATTGAACCAAGGTGATATAATTATAATGATGGATGTGGAGACAGTTTAAAATCATGAAGAGAAGCTGACCTCCAGTAACAGTTAAGCACGTATCCCTGAACAAAATTGCATTCCCTCAGTCTCCAATGTTTCCAGATGAATTCAACTGGAAACATGCTCCATCGGTTGGGATTCCTTTTATATATAATAAACACCACCCCCCCCCCCCCCCCCCTAACCTGGCCTAACTTAAGGAGCAACACAATATCCTTAGGGGGTACTCACTTAACCATGACCCTAACCTCCCCTCTGGTGGTCACTATTAAGTGGAAAGGCAAGGAACAACTAGAAAGTAGGCTACATGCATGGCAGCATAATTGCATCCATAATTGCAGTGTACACTGTACAAAGATCTTAGTTCCTATTTTGGTATCGCCCTTTACGTTAGACCTATGCCTTCCTAGGTCAACTTTCCCTTCGCTACATCCAGCTGGAAAAATCAGTACTAGTTGGCATACTATACTATACAATATATTGGGCAAGGTCCACCTTTGATGGGTAGCCTAAAATAGTGAAAATTCTTCCAAATCTGGAATGGGTTTAGACGTAGGCTGACCCTAAGTACGACTTAGGCTTAAGTAAATTCCTGTTTCTGAAGGGAAAAGCGTGCACATACCCTGTCAAACAAGTGACAGTGAGGATCATCCGTTTCTTGCTGCAGAACTCTATCATCTCTGTCCTTGCGTGACTATAACCCAAGATTGGAAGAGAAAATTATTCCATGATATTGACCTATGGTCTTCTCAAGGCAGCCATTTTGAAAGAGTGATGTCATTCGCGTAGTCCCGGACTCAAAACAAAGAGTAGCTTAATTGAAAAAATAAAGGGGGTTGTGGAAATGGTTTCATTTTTATTACAAATATTTATAATCCATGTGAGAGCTCTTCTATAAACATGGTTGTAAGATGTGGGATATTTTGACCGGACCGCACCACACCGCCACCGAGCTACCTCCACATCCCATCTTGCAAGGGGGGAATGTCAGTTTTGCTTACCCTCCAGTGCAGAGCGGGATAAAAGCCCATTTTTCTGGCCAAAATAAAAAAAAAAATCGAATTGTCTAGCATGATTATGATACACTAATACCCAAATAATCGACATCCAGAAAACTGTTATTGCTATATTACTTTAAAGAAAGCTGAAGCCATTTTCTAGATAGAACGGTGTAAACTCAACGAAAATATGACTATCCCTCCACGTCCTGATTTCTTCAGGTTAAAAAGAAACCAGTTTGTCCAAAGCAAAAAACTGTGAGCGATCTGTTCGGACTTGAGGGAGCCTTCTAGGAGTAAGTAGTTTCATGTTGCTTAATATGATATTCTAAGTTACGTTATTGTGAGCGCGGTACCTATTTATCTGAATTCTAATCTTCAATCACTGCTCCGTCATATTTCTTGTGCGCTGCAAAAAAAGGCAATCGAGTGCGATGAAGATTTGGGCATTTCTGGAAACTTACGTCAGTCTTTATACTATTTACATCAGCTATTTTATCAGCTCACCGAGCTGACTTCTCATCACATCACGAGGTGATGCGATGAGAAGTCAGCAAGGTGAGAAAGTCATGAGAGAAATATTGTAGATGCAGCATGATATTTCGCTCCCAGTGGCGTAGGGAAGGGAGGGGGGTTTAGGAGTTAGAACCCCCCTTGGGCTTCCCGCTCGGTGACGCTGACAGGCATATTTCAACCTTCCAAGGGAATTCCAATTTTCGCTATGTCCCTTCGAGGAAAGTCTGATGTCTGTCTACAGACCCAAGATGCCAGACCACGATTTCCTTGAAAGGTAAATTCCGGGTAGTGGAGCTAGGCGTAGGGTTGGGGTGTCTACCTGACCACAACCTCCCCCTTGCCGATTTCCTGCCTACGCCATTGCTCACTTCTATTGTCAAAATAAGAGGTTGCAGCTACTTTGCACGTGGCTGCTAAAATATAGGTTTTCCCGACGAATTTCGGCAAAAGTCCATTCAAATTCGGCATTCGCCGTTTCAATTTCGGCAGCGCAAGGGAATCTCTTCTTTTGGGAATTAATGAGTATGAGGAATAGGGCAGGAAAGGGCAGAAACGCATAGGGAATTTTTTTTGTTGACAAATAATCATTATTTTATTATGCAAAGAAAAACACATGGACATTGACACTGATTCTTCCCATCGATAAGTTCTCTCCTTAGACATCTGATAAAGTATATTTGTGCATGGCGATACCACGCAAAGCATTTCTGATGGGTGATTTGGGCATGTTCTGTCGGATTCAAGAAAGGCAAACATGCCGGCAGAAACTTCCAGTGAACGTTAAGAAAGTCATCTGGGATAGAGGCTCGTTCGTGGGGTCTAGCATTGTCTAAGATTACAAACTGGAACTAAATATTCGAAATCGGCTGCTCCTTTCTGTGGGTCCTCCATGTAGATTCATGTTCGTTTCCATGCATGGAATAATATTTTACTGCGAAGGAACAACAGGAACGCGTCACATCGTTGTCGTTCCAGGAGTTCTTTGAGAAGCTCCTGAGACATGTATATTTTGCTACCAGATCAACCAGTTTATGTCATCATGGATAATGCTAGACCCCACAAACGAGCCTCGGTTCCAGATGACTTTCCTTACGTTCGCGTGAAGTTTCTGCCGACATATTTTCCTTTCTTGAATCCGACAGAACATGCCCACTCTGCATTTTAGGCAGCTAACAAACGTGAGGTGTATTTTCCTGAAACACTGGTAGAACTTTGGACGACGAAGACCAGAACAAAATTTGCAGCAAAGTCGGACAGAGAAACTGCTCGAAATAGGAGAGAAATCAGTTGGGCAAATAAAAGAAAATAGAAGTTCTTTGCGTGGTTTTGCCATGCACTAACATACTTGATTAAATGCCAAAAGAAGAGAACATATCGATAGATAGAATCAATGTCGATGTCCGTGTTTTCCTTTGCATAATAAAATAATGGTCATTCGCCGAAAATACCATATGCGTTTGTGCCCTTTCCTTCCTTATTCCTCATTCCCATTTTAACTACCAGAGACAAGATGTTCCCTTGTGCTGCCGAAATTGAAACGGCGAATGCCGAAATCGAAAGTCACCTGCCGAAATTGAATGGGATAACTGGGAGGAGAGAGGAGCACTGCCGAAATTGAAACGGCCGCTGTCGAATTTGAATGGACTTTTGCCGAAATTCGCCGGGAAAACCTATATTAATGCTAGCAACTCTGAATCGCCCCTGCCGGTCGAACCGCGAAATAGCGATGGTAACTGATGCAAGCTCTCGTAGTCATTACGTAAGAAGCTTCAGTCACGTGCACTTGTTTTTGCGGGACTGGGAATAATTTTTTCTGACAGTTGCGACAGAAAATAGGGCAACAGAACGTGGTTCTCTAATTTGTCAGGCTTGGGATTTATGGAACCGACATTTGTTAAATGAACGTTGTGAATAAGAGTGATTGCGATTCCGCATCCTTACACCAGAGTTCCGCAAGGAAGTACCCACGAAATTTTCCGGCAAGGTGATGGGTCCGTTTGTTCCCAGGCATTCGGGGTATATCGCTGACACAGAAAAGGGAATCGTTGCTTCCCGCATCGCGACGATGCTCGCCTTCGCCACAGCTGCGATCTGTGCCGGATAAGCAGGATCTCGGCCAATCAGGCTTCACCTGATCCCCTATCAAATTTGGAAACCCCTTCGCGTATGTTTTTTAGACTTGAGTTTTATTTGTCATTCTTGAACCTCTGTGACCTATATTCCCTGGCAGTATACATGTCGCACGAGAAAAGTAGAGAAAGAAGGCATACATTTAATTTTTCTCCTCTGAGCGAAAAAAAAAAGAAATTGATTTCCTTTCGCACCCTGTTAACCTACAGAGGAGTCTGCAGGGTCTCAGATTTAATCACGAACAGAAATCATATTTCCCGTGCCAGCACCGCGTACTGATAAGAAATGACAGTTTCTCTTTCCACATCCCGGATAGGCAAGACTCGATGCGAGAAGGACCCTATATCTTCATAATACAATTCAGCCTGGTAATTATTAAGTTCGGAGTTGTAATCAACGCTGGATGTAAGTTCGTTTTTTTCTTTATAAGTTTGAAAATTGCATCCTTTCTCGGGAATTTCATCGTCGACAAACTCCCTGAAACTGGGATTCCCATCATTCCCGATGGAGATGATGAAAATGGAAATGTAGTCTCTCTTTCCTCCTTTATCAAGTTTCCTGCGTTGGGTGCAACGCATTTTTCTTTTCATCTGGGCGGAAGTATGCTTTCATCAAAATGGATCGATGAATTGTGTTACAGAAATTAGCGGAAGATGACATGGGGAAGGTATAGAATTTTGAGAGGTAGGTCTGGCGCTGATATTACAATATGAGTCATGCTTAAAAAGTAAAATGTTACAGTAAGCAGGAAATTTTATATTGTTTTAACAGCTGTCTGAAATACGCTTAGAATATAAGAGATGTGCTATACAATTTGGTATATCCAATGAGTAGTTTTAAACTAATTTTAGAATAATGAAGTCTTGTCGGGAAAGCCAGAATGGCATTGTTAAAATAAATATGAAAGTCTCTGCTGCAGCACTGAGAAGATAGAGCGAGATAAGACATCATTTCACTCCTTCAATTGTTTTAAAATATTTACATTTTCTTTATGGACAAGAGCATTTACTATGACAAGGGGAAATAAAAAAAAAACTAAAAATGAATCACTTTATTCATGCCAAAAAAAGATGAAAGCAAAGAGACTGAGGATGACAAGTTCTCCTTTGCATTATTGATACACACCTTCTTCATGAACACCCATGGCTTAGTTTTTTCATTAAGGGCCAAAGATTCTTCCAGCCATCAATGAAGAGAATTTTGTGAATTCTCATCCAACATATGTGAAAGTTCATAATTCCACAGCTCACAGATGAGAAATCCTCTCTTTTGCCTTTTGGACCAAGTGCTCTTTTATCAGGGACCCTTGGCTAATATGCCCTCCAGCTGCAAAAACAGAGACAGGCTTTTGAAAACTTCTTCCCATGAGCAAAAGTGCAATTAAAAACTTGAAAGAGCTCATCAACCCACCAGATCACTCAGGGATATATCTTCCGAAATGCTGAGAGGTTTTGAGGTGCCTGCAGCCTTGGAATCACCCCCTTCTGCCTTTATGTTTCGATGTTGGGGGAATGTTGGCATCAGCGATGGACTGCAAGCTAGTTGCAGGGAAAAAATTATAGTAGTACTAGTATTTTTCACAACACCCACATGCCCAAGGGAGGCTGAGCTATTCCTAATCCTCATATTTGATTAGTAACTTAGTGGTTAAATTAAATTTCATGGACTAATATGAAAAAGTACACAACTCAACTAAGCACTGCCACAGCTGTTGGAATAGATAACAATGAGAACATAATAATATGGCTTACGAAAGGGATTCTCTTGAAAGTATTGACTCTCCAAGCACTGTTCTGCAGTTCCCCTGTAAAAGGATAGATAATTTTAAAAGTTAGCAATGATAGGAGCTCCCTTTGGAAAATTGTGAATAGTAATTCATCTTCATGTTTGAATAAGATCAATAACAAGATGTGCTTTCTTGGTAAAAAAGAAAAAAAAACATAATAAAATAAAAATAAAAAACAATACTTTCAAATATAAAACCTTAAATAGCTAATAAAATCACAAAGCCACCAGAATCAATGATCTCATTTAAATGTTAACCCTTTGCAGTCCTATTATTTTTAAGTTTTGCAGGCCAAAAAGTCCAATTTTTTACACTTTTTTTTTATATAAATAGGTCGAATGAGGTTTTATTATTTCTATTTCAGTTGAGTAATTTCTAGCCATCTGATAACGTAAAAATTACGCCTATAAACATGCAAAAGAATAGCATTGTTCCATTGAGCAAAATTATTATCATAATGAGACAACTTTGACTCAATTTCATCCCGGGGATGAGGTTGGACCGCAAAGGGTTAATTTATGTGCAAGATAAAAGCTTCAAAAGTAGCGACTGACAGATGTCATATGAGCAATAGCATTAAAAAGCCCTAAAGCTATTTTAAATATATCTCAAAATACAAAATTAAAATTCTTATACATTTAGTGAGTGATAGGCAAAACCACAATAATAAAATTTGAAGTCATATTCTGTACACAAATCAAATTACTGACTTATAGACATACAGGGTGTCCAAATCTTGATGGGGTTTCAAATACTATGTATCTCATATAAGTCAACTCTTATTTATCTAAATGTCAATAATCCAGCACTTTTGTTAATTTGAACAAGAGGAATGGTCCTGGGGCTATTTCCAAAGAACCTATATTAAAACTCTCTGGTTAATCTGAATGCTGTTATTCCAGGCTCACATTTGAGGGAAATTAATTTCACAGCCCCCTGGGTCTTTCTCTTCATTAGTCCAGATTCACAAGCAGAAGAGATGGAATAATACAACTGGGAAAAAAATTCCCAGTACCTTTTCAGTGTCTCATCCCAGGAATTAGAAAGAGACAGGCAAAAAAAAAACCTTATCTACTTCAATCTCCCCCCTTTCCTGGAAATGGGTGATTGGGATTGCTCTCTCCAATGAGACTTTCTCTGAACCTTTCCAGTGGTTCCTCTCTTCCTGTCTGTATCATCCATCCTTGTCATTGAAGCCTCAAGTTTCTTATCTCCCTTCCTTCATGAGTACATGTTCTCTTAGTGATCCAATGCTGGAGGAAAAGTTTTCTCGAGAGAATCAACAAAAAAAATTCAGGATTTTTCTAATGCAACTGCTTGAAAAAACCAAGTCAGTGATTCCCATTTCCATGAAAACATAAATAATAATTTAAAAAAACGGAATGAATTAAAGTAATTTGCAGTACACTGAAGTTTAGTCATTTACACTATGAAAAAAAATAGAAATGAGAAGTTACTTGGTTGAGTTTTTTTGTTAAACAAGTTCAGTAGTGAGCCCTTAAACTGGAAATTATCATAGGTCTCCTAAAGTCCAGATTAATAAGTAGAGTTGTACCGATCCTTAGATCGAAGATCGGACATTGGCCGATTCCGATGTTTTTCATGAAATCGGCGAAACCAATCTTTGGGCCAGCCGATCTTCCAATTTTTTTTGTGCGTCGAACACGCATCTCATTTCTTCTTCCTATTTCGATTTCCCGGCATTTTGTACCAGGCCGGGAAACTCCTAAAAGGAGACATTAGTAGACGCAATCTGCATTTATTCCGGAGAACGGAACTCGAAACTTAAAAACACCTAGCCATAAGCGAGGCGCGGTCAGGAGCGCAAATTCTTCCTACTGAAGGGCAGCGGACGTAGAAGCACGTGCGAGAAGCTGCTGCATTCCCATTGAATCATCTAAGAAGCCATTGCTGTTGAATTTTTCTAAAACAAATGCTGAAACCTTGAATGGTCCTGCTTCCATTAAATGAACATCACGTTAACGTTAGGCTTAGGCCTCTAGCCTCTAACCTTCGCGTGTGCAGCATGATGGGCCGACGCCGATGGTAAGGTCTATTCTTGCCTAGATCTTTTGTTTTCTTGTCATTTTAGTGGGCCTCCTTTCCTGAAAGGAAAGAGACCACTTATGTTCCCGTCCTGTCCGTTCGTGTGTCACACGTTTCAGGCATCGACTGGGAGGCGCGGCTTCGTGGGCTGACGGTAGAGGAGCAATGGGGGGCGTTCAAGACGTTATTGCAGGGCTTTATGGAGGAATGCATCCCCAAGAAATCCATCAAATCGGGCAGGCAACCGGTCTGGTTTACGGGTAAAATCAAAGCTCTCATCAGGGATAAAAAGCGGAAATGGGATGCGTACAAGCGGACGGGAGATACCACGGACCATGAGGAATATAGGAGGATCACGCGGA